GAGGGAACACTGGTCACCGTAAGTTAGAAGCAACTTTAGGGTCACTGTAAGTTAGAAACAACTTGATGGCACATAACACACACAGAGACATGCCAGTGTCAGCATCTTGCACTACCCTTGGGAGGCTGGCCAGCAAGACTGTCCTTAACAGTGTATTTGCGGGGCTACCAAAACTAGCATGCCTGAGACTACATCATGAGTTTGCCTTGCCCTTCTCACCAAAGAACTGGTCCAAAATGCAGTGCCCAGAACCAAGCACTCCAGCAAACAGTAGGGCAGGGATGAGAGCAGGTGGGCCAGGACTCCCCCCCCCACGTTAACGTTAGAGGGAAGGGGTGTTTGTAAAACAGGCAGAGGACGTACAGGGTCTTCGGGCTGAAAGCATTCTTCAGCTCTATAGGCTCCTTGGCACTTGCACAGGTTACTGCTGTCCCTCACCTGACACTTCCCAGCAGGTGAGACAGCTCTCCAGTTATTACTGCTACATACAACCCAGGCCCCAGCTGGACAATACCTGGTAACCCTACAGTTTGGATCATTTATGGTCTTTTAAGAGCCAGTCTGGGGTAGTGGTTAGGAGCGCAGACTCTAACCTGGGAGAACAAGGTTTGATTCCCCATTCCTCCACATGCAGCTGCTGACGTGACCTTGGGTCAGTCACAGTTCCCTCAGAGCCAGTGTTCCCTCAGAGCTCTCTCAGCCCCACCTACCTCACAGGGTGCCTGTCGTGGGAAGGGGAAGAAGACTGTAAGCCGCTCTGAAACTCTGAGTGAACGGTGGGGTATAAATCCAATCTCCTCCTCTTCTTGAGAGCCAGTTTGGTGTAGTAAAGTGCGCGGACTCTAATCTGGGAGAACTGGGTTTGATTGCCCACTCCTCCACTTGCACCTGGCTGGATGACCTTGGGCAAGCCGTAGCTCTGATAAGAGCTGTCCTTGAAAAAGAGCAGTTTCTGTCAAGAGCTCTCTGAGCCCCACCTACCTCACAGGGGGTCAGTTGTGGGGAGGGGAGGGGAAAGGAGTTTGTAAGCCGCTCTGAGACACCTTTGGGTAGTGAAGGGCCATGGGGCATGACTCCACTCTCTTCTTCTCTCTCAGCCCCACCTCCCTCACAGGGTGTCTGTTGTGGGGAAGGGAAAGGAGTTTGTAAGCCGCTTTGAGACTCCTTTGGGTAGTGAAGGGCCATGGAGTATAAATCCAGTCTCTTCTTCTCTCTCAGCCCCAAATCCCTCACAGGGTGTCTGTTGTGGGGAAGGGAAAGGAGTTTGTGAGGCGCTCTGAGACTCCTCTGGGTAGTGAAGGGCCATGGGGTATAAATCCAGCCTCTTCTTCTTCTTAAGATTAAAAGCAGCCAAAGGGAGGGGGGCATCATCCCCCCCATTTGTCCCATGGAAGGGATTCATCTTCCCCATACCCTCTGACAGACTTCAGATCCTCCCTGTATAATCTTCAGCATTCACTGAATCCCACCCCCTGCAGAATGGGACAACTGACCCTGCAACAGCCACCAGAAACACCTCTTTGCTACTCTGGCTTCTTAAGGACCACCCCAGTAGGAACATCTACGACCAATGTTCCCTCTAAGCTGTGGAGTCTTGTGAGCAAAAATTCTACTTTGTGAGCTGCTGGCATTAAAGTTGTGAGCAGGTGATTTGGCTACTGCATAACTTAGTTTGCTCTGGAGCCATCCTTCCTGAACGAAGACAAAAATGTGTGAGCCACAGGCTAAAAAGCTGTGAGCTAGCTCACACTAACTCAGCTTAACGGGAACACTGTCTACGACCTGTTGAGAACCAGCTAAAACACTTCACAATTGTGCCGGGTTCTGTTAGCACAGGGACAGAGTCCTATAGGCGTAATCTTCGTGGGGGCGGCGGGGCTTCAGCCCCCACCGAAATTTTCAGAAGGTGCTCAGCCTCCCCCGGGAGCCACCCTTGCTCCTAGCAAAGCAATGCCTCTGACCCAGCCCCAGCCCCCCCCCCCGGGAAATTGGAAAGTCTACAGCACCCTCTGGCGTTTCCCTTTTTTTATGAGTCTCACCCCAGGAAGCGCTTCAAATTAGGGTAAAGGGAGGTTCTGGCTTCACCTTGACCCCCTCTCTCCTACCAGTCTCCTCTCCTGTGGCTTTGTGGCTCATCTCCCACCACCTTTCCACACACAGCCTTGCCTTTACCCCCTTCCCTACAGCCTCCAGTTTGGCCACCTGCTTCAGTAATGCCTGGGTAAGACTGTCCCTACTGGTGCCTCTTCCAAAGCAGGACAAAGGATTACCAATCTCCAGGTAGTGGCCAAGGACCCCCCAGAATTACAACACAACCAGTCTCCAGGTTATAGAGATCAGTTCCCCTTTCTTCTCCTTCTGTACCCTTAGAAGCGCATTGATTCACAAATCTTAAGCAGCAGAAAACGTATTTCTTAGATACAAGGGCTAAAGGGAATGAGACGAATTTTGCAATTGCTAGAGTGATCTTGGGTTCCTTATCACCAAGCGAATAGGGGGATGACTCGTCGAATGAAGGCTTAATATAATAGTCCCTCATAATCTCAAAAAACCTGCATTGCAGCAGGGCGTGAAAGGATATATCAATCCTGTTAGGGCCGCACATGCAAATTCTATCAGTGTAGGGCCTGTTCAAAAATCCGTTGCAAAACCATTGTAGGCATAATGTTCTGTCTTGCACACCAAAAAGCTCTGCAATAATGTGGGATGGCAAGATAGCACATATAGGAGGGGGTAAAGATTTGGGGGTAAGAAAGACCAAAAAAAATAGGGGCGAGCGGACCCCGCGGATTCTCAGAATCAAACTACCATGGTCGATTTCCAGGGCTCCCTTTTTGATCAGAGAAAACACTTTGGTTTTGCCCATCTCAGAAATATCATCGATTGACATTCCATCTTTCATCAGTTCCTAATCCAGGGCTTTCATCCAAGTTGATCGGCTGGCATCCCACTTTAAAGCGGCTAACAACCCATCTTCAGCTCCCTGGGGAACTGCTTGGGAAGGGGAACTCTGTAGCATCATCCACCACTGAGGCCCCGCCCTTCCCCAAGCCTCAGCCTTCCCGGGCTCCACCCCCAAAATCTCCAGGAACTTCCCAATCCAGATTTGGCAACGTGACCCAGACAACCTGTTCTCAGAGAAACCCGGTAGGAGGGCTGCGCTCATTGATGAATAACAACTGCTCTAGGCTCCATCTAAACACACACAGAGCCCAACTCCACAGCTGTGTTTGCCTAGGTACTTTCATGGTTGCACATATTCATGATCTGGGTCATATTCATGATCTGGCCAACTTGGGAGCCAGCCGGAACTCCATTCCTGTGCGCCCCTGCCCAAAAATAGCCCTGCATAAGGCCATCATGAGTTAGAAGCGACTTAATGGCAAGTAAGGCACACGTTGGTCTCCTGCTGGCCCCCCTGTCCAGGAAGCCCCTACAGAGCTTTAGAGCCAGAGATGAAGAGGTCACTCATCCAGCGGAAGCACAAGGACAGGTAAGTATATGTAAAAAAAACCTGCATGTTGTCCCAGGTCGGACCAGAACCAACAGGTTGAAAAGAAATCAGAAGAGTTTTCGGCTACACATTAGGAAGAACTTCCTGGCAGAGCGGTTCCATGGAACGGGCTTCCTCAGGAGGCGGTGGGCTCTCCTTCTTTGGAGGCTTTCAAACAGAGGCCAGATGGTCACCTGACAGCCATATGGATTCTGTGAATTTAGGCAGATCATGAGAGGGAGGGCAGGAAGGGTTTGCCTCAGTGTTTAATTCTTGTGGCCCTTTCTTACACACCCAGGGAAATGCTGATTGCCACTTCGGGGGTTCAGAAAGCAATTTTTCTCCAAGCCAGTTTGGCCAGGGATCCTGGAGGGGGTTGCGTCTTTTGTGTGCGTGTGCGTGCGTGCAGGGGGTTGGACTAGATGACCATGGAGGTCCCTTCCAACTCTATGATTCTAAGAGACTCTAAGAGCTGCAAGTAAAATACAGGCAGGGGGAAGAAGAAGAGATTAGATTTATACCCTGCCCTTCACTACCCAAAGGACTCTCAGAGCGGCTTACAAACTGCTTTCCCTTCCCTTCCCCACAACAGACACCCTGTGAGGTAGCTGGGGCTGAGAGAACTGCTTTTTCAAGAACAGCTGTGCCAGAACTACGGCTTGCCCAAGGTCATCCAGCAGGTGCAAGTGGAGGAATGGGGAATCAAACCCAGTTCTCCCAGATTAGAGTCTGCGCACTTAACCACTACACCAAACTGGCCCAAACTGGGAAGGGAGGCACAAGGGTTCTCACCGCCAAGAGTTCTTGTACACTTGTGAATAAGGCAGATATTGCAAAGAGACTCCAGCAACCCAAGGGAACCGGCCCCATTATTTTGTCTCTGGAATGTGTCACCCCTTCGGGACTAGGGTGATCCTTCTTCCTTTATCCCCCTTGTGTTTGCGACAGAGCAACAACACACACATACACTGAGAACACAACACCATTTTTTTTAAAAAAAACAACAACCCCAAATGTGGGCAGGAGCTACATTAGAGAGGTGACGGGAGAACAGACAGGCAACACGTGGCTATCGGACGGCGGTTCGTCCCGAAAGACAAGAGACCGGGATGGTTGTGAGCGGCGGCGGCCCCCTCGGAGGCTGCCCTCCCCACCTGAGACACTAGAGGGCGCAGCTGCTCCAGCAAGGCTGCTGAGTCACCTTCTTCCAGGGCCGGAGAATTAATGGAACTCTGTCTGCCCCCTCCCACTTTTGCCTTTGAGTTCCTGCAGCAGCTGTTCTGGCCTTGGGGTAGGGAAATCCACAGCGCACCGAGGAGCTGTGAGCACCTGCTGCCCACACTTGCCTTCCTTGCTCCGGGTGGCTCTTCTTGGTACACGCTGCTCTTCTCGGTGGGGCAGGAGCAGCGAAAGAGCCCTGCGCCAGGCAGGGGGGTCCCCGCGAGAGAAGGAAACTGGTCAGACTGCCCCTCTGTGCTCCCCCCCACCCCGCAGCCTTATTTATTGCTTTTCGAAGCTGGTTCTCCAGCCACTCTGTGCAGAGAAACGTGTCCATGTGGCCTAGGAAGTAGCAGCGGCGGCGGCAGCATTGCCCCCCCCGGCGAGTCTCCAGTCAGTGCCAGTTCTACGCCCAGCCACAGTTGCTTTGGAAGAGCCCAGCCCAGCAGGGTGACCTTGGGCGCCGCCACCGTCAGTTCGACACGGACCAGTCCAGCCAGGGTTTCCAAACGCGGGTCTCTTTCACCGTCCCATCCCCCCCTTCTCTCTTCTAGTTTAAAATCCATCCGGTCAAACATGCATGGCAAGTTATGTTTTCTCAATGCTACAGAAATCGGCACCTGGGAAACGGGGAAGGGGAGGCAACTCCCTTCCCCAGCAATCCCCACATTGTCGCTCTGGGCCCGAACAAGGAAAGGGTGCACCAGTCAGAGGCACGGGGAAGAGTCCCCTTCAGGCAGCAGATAGGGGGAAGGGGGAGGGCTTGGCTTTTGGCACAGGGGGAAGCTCAGACGTTCTCCTCCTTGCCTTAGGACGCTGGAGGCTCCTCGCCCTCCATCCTGGATCGGCTTTAACGCTGAGCTGAAAGGAAGGGTCATGCAGACCGTGGGGAGGAGCAGCCTTTCCAGGCCTCTAGAAGACCCAGCAGGTGGGGGGAGGCGGAGAAAGGACAGAATCTGCCCCCTACCCAGCTAGAAGCCAGGCTCCGGGGCATGGGGGGTGGCAGGGGGGAAAGAGCAAAGGCGACACAAGGCCCCCCCTGCAGTCAAGTACCTTGGTGAGAAGGGAGAGGGCATTTGGCGAGGGCAAAGCGCCAACAGGGCAACCCGCCCCCCTCCAGTGCCTGCTGCCACTCCCGCCCCAGGGGCTTCCACCGGATGCCGGGAAAAGAAAGCTGGAGGCATCGGCGGCCCCAACCCCACCCCGCCTTGGTGGCTTTTACAAAGGACAGCGTGAGCCATGCGGTTCAGAGGAGAGGTGGGCAGGCGGTGGAGTGTCGGAGACGAGACGGGCGGCGAGGGCCGGGGAAGACCGGAAGGCAGCCCCCTACACAAAGGCCTCCGAGTTGCTCTTCAGGAAGAGTTTGGCATCGTCCACCTGCTGCCGCTTCTCCCGTTCCAGCCGCCGGCGGTAGCAGATCAAGTAGAGCGGCAGGCAGAAGCCGAGCATGCTCAGGCCCAGCAGGCCCACGTTGACCTACAAGGCAGAGATAAGCAGAATGAGAGACACCAGAGACTCTCCCGCACAGACGGGGCCGGCCCGGTCCAGAGAGGCCTCTTCTGTGTCTGGGTGAATCTCCCAGGCACACCGGGTACACACGTGACATTGCCTTATCGTGAAGCAGACCCTTGGTCCGTCAAGGACAGTATGATCTACTCAGGGCTGGCAGCACCTCTGGTGGAGCTCTTCCCCATCAGCTCCTGCCTGGCCCCTTTAAGCTGGAGATGCCAAGGATTGGACCTCTGACAAGGTATAGATGGGAACTCTCAGGGTGGGGCAAGTGATACTCTATCTTCTTGGTGCATGGGGGGGCAACAGTGGGAGGGCTCCTAGTGTCCTGGCCTCACCAGTGGACCTCCTGATGGCACCTGGTATTTTTGGCCACTGTGTGACACAGAGTGTTGGACTGGACGGATGAGCCATTGGCCTGAGCCAGCATGGGCTTCTCTTATGTACTTATGACTTTCTGCATGCCAGGCAGAGGCTCGGCTCTGAGCCTCTCCTTCAGAACATACATGAAGCTGCCTTCCACTGAATCAGGCCACTGGTCCATCACGGCCAACAGTGTCTACTCAGACTGGCAGCCGCCCTCCAGGGTCCGAGCCCTTCCACACATGAAGCTGCCTTATACTGAATCAGATGGTTGTCCCACCAAGGTCAGGGACCATCTGCTTTGACTGTGGGTCGCCAAGGTCTCTTGCTCACAGCTTTCATACCGGTCGCTCACAAAGTAGAATTTTTGCTCACAAGACTCCACAGCTTAGAGGGAGCATTGGTCACCTCTTGAAAAGAAGGGAAAGGACTCCCGCACAGTTCTCTTTGGAAACGATTCCCAAATCTTCCACTGATCCAAAACACAATAGCCAGGGGGCAGGAGACGGGGATTTTATCACCCATGTGCTGCGCTGGCCGCCCCTCTGTTTCCGGGCACAGCTCAGATTTCCAGTTCTTTCCTAAATGGCTTGGTGTTCCCTCTAAGCGGTGGAGTATTGTGAGCAAAAATCCTACTTTGTGAGCTACTGGCATTAAAGTTGTGAGTGAGCTATTTGGCTGCTGCATACATTAGTTTGCTCTGGAGCCATCCTTCTTGAGCGAAGACAAAAATGTGTGAGCAGGAGGCTAAAAAACTGTGAGCTAGCTCACACTAACTCAGCTTAGAGGGAACACTGGTCAGGGTACTAGAAAGACCACCTCCTCCCCCTGTATTGTCCAGCCCACCAGCTATAATCTCCTCACAAGCCCTGCTCTCCGGGCCTCCCCACCTTCAAGAGGTGAAGCGGGTAGCGACCAGAGATAGAGCTTTTCAGTGGTGGGGCCATGCCTACGGAACGCCCTTCCTCTTGAGACTACCCTGTTATCCTTTAAGCGCATTTATCCTTTAAGCGCCTTTAAGCGACTATTGCTCTTGAAGGGTTCCATCTTTTTTAGGTGTTTTATGGGCTGCTTCTAGCTTTGGGGTTTCACGACTTGTTCTAATATTGGTAGTTTCTGTGCCTGTTTAATATATATTCAGATCGCAGACGCTAAGCAGGGTCAGTGCTTGGATGGGAGACATCCAAGGAAGACTCTGCAGAGGCAGGCAAGGGCAAAACACTCCTGGCTTCCACTTGCCTTGAAAAACCCTTGCTGGGGTCGCCATAAGCCAGTTGTGACTCCACAGCACAGACCTTGAGTAAGTGTCTGGAGGAGTTGCAGATTTAGAAAATGTAGTGACGTAATTCCTGTGGCTGCATTCTCCGTCTGGTTTCTTTTGACCCCCCAGTAACCCAGAGAGACTTGAGTATAAGCTCAGCAGAGGGGGTGGGGAGAACTGCTTGACCGTCCCCCCCCTTAGACACTCCCCCCCCCTTCTAGCCTTCACACCTTTTCAGTCTAAGGGTATCAAACTCTCCCCCGCCCGGAGAAGGAAACCTGGAAGGGGTTTTAGGATAAGAATGGCCATCTGGAAAAGGGTTAAAGCCCCCCCCCCCCCACAATTCCTCCACTCAAACTTAAAAAAGGTAAAGCTAAAGGTTTCTTTGCTCGAAAGCCAGTCAAATCCGACTCTAGGGTTGCGGTGCTCATCTCCGTTTCAAAGCCGAAGAGCCAGCGCTGTCCGAAGACGTTTCCGTGGTCATGTGGCCGGCATGACTAAACACCAAGGCGCACGGAACGCTGTTACCTTCCCACTGAAGTAATACTTATTTATCTACTTGCAATTTCTTGCTTTCAAACTGCTAGGCAGGAGCTGGAACTGGAGACGGGAGCTCACTCCGTCATGCGGCACACACCTTCCACAGCCTGCAGTTCAGCGTCTTAACCACTTGAGCCACCGCAGCTCCCCACTCAAACTTACTACCTTCCAAATACACTTTTGAAGAAAAACATGTTGGAGGAAAAATGCTTGCTACTGTGGGTCCCCTCGGCTGCAACTATGCTATGAGGCATACAGCTCATAGTATGGACAGCCAGCTTGGCGTAATGGTTAGGAGCGTGGACTCTAATCTGGGAGAACCGGGTTTGATTCCCCCACTCCTCCACATGCAGCTGCTGGTGTGACCTTGGGTTAGTCATAAATTCTTTCAGAGCTGTTCTCTCAAGAGCAGTTCTCAAAGAGCTCTCTCAGCCCCACCTACCTCACAGGGTGTCGGTTGTGGGGAGGGGAAGGGAAAGGAGATTGTAAGCCACTGAGATTCCTTCGGGTAGTGAAGGGTGGGGTATAAATCCAATCTCCTCCTCTTATCTCTGTTGAGCCCACATTTGAACTTCAGAGTTCAATAGACCTTGTTCGGAGTAACATCCTGTGGCAATGAGTTCCACAGGATATTTCTGTCCTTAACCTCCACTGGCTGTCTTTCTCCTCCCTGCACTGGAAGCTGCCTTTATAGTCAATGGGCCGCTTACCCAGAGCGGGTCTCCTTTCAGGGGTCCCATCATCATCAGGAACAGGGGCTGCTGGAGAAGAGCAAAGAGGGCGCTCACTAGAGACTGCAGCCCCGTCAAGCTGCCGAACTGCGTCGAGGGATACCTGTTCCAAGCGAGGAGAGACGTTAGCCAAGCAATACACCCACACCACACTCTCTGCAGCCGTTTGCAGGGCCACTCCCTCAGTTAAAATGCTTGGGGCTCCTTCGCTTGGAGAAACGACGGCTGAGGGGTGACACGATCGAGGTTTACAAGATTATGCCTGGGATAGAGCAGGTCGAGAAAGAGGTACTTTTCTCCCTTTCACAGAATACAGGAACTCGTGGGCACTCCATGAAACTGCTGAGCCGTCGGGTTAGAATTGATAAAAGGAAGTCCTTCTTCACCCACAGAGTGATTAACACATGGGATTCACTGCCACAGGAGGGGGCGGCGGCTACAAGCATGGATGGCTTCAAAAGGGAATTAGATAAGCATATGAAGCGGAAGTCCATCAGTGGCTATTAGCCACAAGGTATAGTAGGAACTCTCAGGCTGGGGCAAGGGATGCTCTGTATTCTTGGTGCTGGGGGGGCAACAGTGGGAGGGCTTCTAGTGTCCTGGCCCCACTGCTGGATCTCCTGATGGCCCCTGGTATTTTTGGCCACTGTGCGACAGAGTGTTGGACTGGATAGGCCATTGGCCTGATCAGGGCTTTTTTTTGTAGAAAAAGCCCAGCAGGAACTCAATAGCATAATAGGCCACACCCAACAGCAGACACTCATTAGCATATTAGGCCACACCCTTGACAGCACAGCACGTTAGCATATTAGGCCATACCCCCATGTTACCAGAAGTATGGTCATCCAGCGACACCCACCTTTTGCTTCTTATTCTGTTTACCTTGTTGTCAAAACTCAGAGGGTTTTTTGGTAGCAGGAACTCCTTTGCATGTTAGGTCACACACCCCTAACGTAGCCAATTCTAATGAGTTTCTGCTGCTGGGTGTGGCCTATTATGCTAATGAGTTCCTGCTGGGTGTGGCCAACTCAGGAGCCAGCCGGAAGTCCATTCCTGTGCGTTCCTGCCCAAAAATAGCCCTGGGCCTGATCCAACACTGGCTTCTCTTATGTTCTTAATCTCCTATCCTGGTTTGGGATTAGGGTTGCCGGATATCCAAGTGGAGACATCCTGGGATTACAACTGATCTCTAGATGGTAGAGATCAGTTTCCCCAGAGAAAATGGCCACTTTGAAAGGTGGGCTCTATGGTATTATACCCCACTGACGTCCCTCCCCTCTGCAAACCCCACCTTCTTTAGGCTCCGCCCCCAAAACATCCAGGTATTTCCCAACCCAGAGCCAGCAACCCTAATGGGGATCCACCTCTTTCTCTCATAACCCAAGAAGAGACCTGGTAGGTCCGTCCAAAGGGGGTCCCAGCCTTCTGCTCCCAACAAAGCCCACAAGCAGGGCAGCAACTGGTATTCACAGGTACACTGCCTGTGGACCTGGAGGTTTCATTAGCCAGATTAGCTAAATTGGTTGCCGATATAGTAATTATCCATTGAAAGCCACCTAAAACCACTGGGTGGCAAATTTCCCCAAGCCCAAGCATGTGTTGAAGTCAAAGTCACAGAGCTTAACTTCTTCATCCCAGACAGCCCCAGCTAGTTAATCATTTCCACCCAATCCAGATACGGGCTGGAGTCCCTCTAGGGTAAAGAGATCAGGAAGGAAGGAAGAGGGATTATATCTGCCCCATTCTGGGTCAAACTACAGGGTGTTTTTTGTTTTTTTGGCTTCGTACTCAAGTCTGCATCCAGTTTCCCAGCAAAAAGGAAGACGTAAACATTTTTAAATGGTTTCTGCAAAATGTAGCTGGGGCCTTTCCCAGGAGGAAAAGAGAAGGGCACTCCTTAACTCTTTCCTTCCCACCACTGTCTTGCGGAAATGAGCCATCCCCCCTCCAAGCTGCTTCAGCCCTTGGGAAAGCAACTTTCCTCTCTGAAAAAGGAGCTCAAGTGAGTGTACTCTTTTTAACAAGTATTCTACATTAACATTCAAAAAATACCTTGGAGTCCAATCTTCACTAATAAGAACATCAGAGAAGCCATGTTGGATCAGGCCAATGGCCCATCCAGTCCAACACTCTGTGTCACACAGTGAGTGGCCCAAACCCAGGTGCCATCAGAAGGTCCACCAGCGGGGCCAGAATTCTAGAAGCCCTCCCACTCTTGCCCCCCAAACACCAAGAAATACAGAGCATTACTGCCCCAGACATAATGTTCCATCTATAACTTGTGGCTAATAGCCACTGATGGACCTCTGCTCCATGTGTTTATCCAATCCCCTCTTGAAGCTGTCTATGCTTATAGCCGCCACTTCCTGTGGCAGTGAATTCCACGTGTTAGTAACTCCTTAGGTGACGATGTCCTTCCCTGTGTCTGTTCTCAGCCTAGTGCTCATTAATTTCATGGAGTGCCCACAAGTCCCTGTACGGTAAGAAAGGGAGAAAAGGACTTTTCTCTATTGTCTCTATCCCATGCACTCAGCCTCCTTCACGTTAGGCCTTCAACAGAAATTCATCCCAGATCTGTTAGGATCATTTTAACGACCGCAAGGACTAGAAGCAGAGCCGGATCCGGGTTTTGTGGGGCGCTGGGCAGAGACAGAGCTATGGGCCTGGTTCCCCTGCTCACACTCCTCATTCTTCCCACTCACCTATGGGCCTTTCTGTCCATACGTCCTTCCCTGCCAACTCACTCCTCCAGCTGCCTATGCCACATGCGTGCACTTTTCCTGATGGTGCTGGGTGACAGGAGGGCATTTGGGTGGGCAGTGGGCACTGCTGGAAGCTCTGGACCCCAGCATCTGCCTCCTCCCATGGTGTTCCGATGTTGGCCTTTACTAGAAACTTGAAGAATTGTGCGTGTGTGTGTGTGTGGAGGGGGGTGTTTCCTTGACCCAATTCTACTGAGATGTTCCTATCCGACATTTGGCAATCCAGGACAGCAGCGCCCACTCCTGATTGAACTGTCAAAACATGAGGGAGGTGTCCTACACACAAAACATTCCAAGGCTTCCCACTGTAACCTTAGAAGTAAAACAACAATACAGACAAAGAAACTGACATTGGTGCCCATCAGTCAAGTCCCATGGCTGGTTTTGTTTACACCCCTCTGTGGCCCGCTTCTGCACAAAGGCAATCCTTTGGAATTCCTCTGGACACTCACTACTGCCGTGAATAAAGAGGCATTCATAGCGGCCACAAAGCATTCATAAAGCAGTTTTTGCCATACTTTCCTTGCATCGGCCCCTCGTAGGCACCATTTCTCCCCCCCAAAAAAAACAGAGGGCTTAAAAAAAAAAACACAAAGGAATTGCTAGATCACTGTAGCATTATAAAGATGTATTGCCATGATCTACTTAGTTCCCAGCTTTCAGTTTCTGAAACCAGTCTCCAAGCCCATTTCGTTCCAGTTATACGGAAAAGGTACCAGCTGCACATTTCCCCTTTTAGCTCCGCAAGAAAAGGGCCATGGACTTAATGTTGTTGTTTTTTTTTAAAAAAAGCTGGGAACTAGGAGACTTTGGTGATACCCTGTTATAACACCGTATCAAAACAGGAATTGGTAGAGTGTCATAACAATCCAGTGCTCAAAAATAGCCCCTCCAATGTGGGTAGGGATAGTGGACACAAGGGGTGATAAAGGAGAATGGTACTGACATGGGTGATGTCCCGTCCAAACATCATCCAAAGAGGTGATGATCTTTGCAAAAAGGTATCAAACCAAGTCTGAGAGAGCTCACTACACAATGGGGGGGGGGACACAGAAGCAGGACGAACGGCTGTGTGAATGCTTCTGAAAACGCTGCCACTAGAAGGACACCAAAGTAGAGCAAAACATCTGTGTAGAAGAAGCCACGTGTACTTCACTAACTCTCGAGGATTTGTTCAGGAGGGCAGCCATGTTGGCCTGAAGTAGCAGAACAAATTTTGAGTCCAGTAGTGCCTTTAAGACCAACAAAGGTTTCAGTGTGCGTGCACACGAAAGCTCATACTTTGAATAAACTTTTGTGGGTCTTAAAAGGTACCACTGTACTCAAATTTTGTTCTCGGGGATTCAGTTACCTGTCAGTTTGCTTAGGATCAGATTGGGGCTACAATTCTAACACAGCGGGAAACAAGTATGTATGTTCCGTTCAGGGGTCGTTTCGTAGAAAAAGAGCTAGGGGAACTCATTAGCATAACTCATTAGCATATGCCACACCCCCTGACATCACCGGAAGTGTGTCATAAGGCCACACCCCCTGACATCACCGGAAGTGTGTCATGAGGCCACACACCACGCCCCCAACGGTCCCGGCCACCGACGCCGGCCTTGCAGCTCCACTGCCGAGCCCCATGAGGGGCCCGGTGGTGGACCTGCAAGGCCAGCGGGAGTGCAAGGAAGCCCCGCGAAGGCCCTCCCTGGCCCCAGGCAGGCAGGCAGGGGTGGGGAGAGGCAGGGAGGAAGCAACTTACCCTCCCTCTTCTCCTGCCTCCTCCTGGCTGAATGAGGGCTGGAAGCGGGGCGGCCGGAAGCAGGGGGCAGGGCTGTGTCATGTGCCCCGCCCCCTGTACCTCACCCGGGGGAACTGCGATCCCCCGCGATCCCCCCCCGAAATGACCTCTGGTTCCGTTCCCATCGCTGACCTACACACCATCAGTGGCTTGCAAACAAGCACGATCTGGAATGTCTGAAAATGCAGGACTCCCAGCCACGCGGCTAGAACCTACGCCACGTGGGATGGAACTCTGTGCTCTTGAGTCAGCAATGGCGCGTCGGTGGGGCCATGCACTTGCGCCCACTACCCCGTTTCTGCATGCTGATTTCGGCGCAAGTCATGCTGTCTGTCGAGGCGACCGCCTCCAACGCCTGGGCCGACTCCCAGAGCTTCCTTAGCTTAGAAAGCCCCAGCCAAGGGAGAGCTTCCCTTCCGAAGGACAAACATGTTCTCTCGCACACGTCACTGATTGCAAAGTGCTGAATGCTAAGAGATTGGCAGCGAAAAACAACCGCCTGGGAAAGCAGCTCAGAGTGGGTTTGTTCCCTTGCCGTTGTGCAATGATTAATTGGACTCTGACAAACAAATGCTGGAGCCAGATCAAAGCCTCCATTGATCCGATTGATAGGCGTTCCTGCAACTAAAGAAGAGGCGCTGCTCCCTTCTGGCGTGCCGCAACAGAGCAAAGCTACTGCTGGCTCCCAAGTGTGCACTGATTGGTCTTTCTCACACACACACACAAGGTCGAAAAGAGGTAGTGATGTTCCAAGAGAGGGGAAGCAGAACTGGCAGGCTAGGGCGCCGAAAGACATTTTTGGCCCGGGAATGATACTTCTGGCCGAAAAGGACTCTGGGAGGAGGGAGGGAGAAAGCGCAGTGTCTCGCTGACCCGTTCAGAGCAAGGGCAGAGCCCGTTCTTAGGAAACTGTTTTGCTCAGCCACGGGACGCAGTGGCTGCGGTCGGAGCAGATAAGAGCCGGCGGGTCACGTCAACCGCCCTTCTCGCCAGCACACGCCCAGGGAAAAGCGGGCCGGCCTCCAGCACCCACAGCTGATCTTCATTCCAGGTAGGGGAAGGAGAGAAAAAACATGACCCAGAATCGGGGTAAACATCTGCATCCCCAATTGGGCGCAAGGGCGCAGCTGGCAGCAAGCCACCCCCCCCACCCTCGGCGCCCAGGAACGGGAGGCAGCCCACGGCTCCCCTGCGAGGCTTACACAGCTGCGTAGAGGCCGCCCATGGCCGAATGGATGAATCCTCTGACGACCGTGTGCAGGATGAAGGAAAGGATCTGGAAGAGAAGGGGAAAGGACCCTGAGCTGGCAGCGTGAGACGGGCTCGTGGGGTGGCACATGCAGCCCATCCGGCCACATCGGATGACACACACACACCCGCCGCCTACCCAAAGAGTTCAGAGTAGTGCAACATGGCTGAAGGGAACCTCCCCGTTCGACCCAGCACCAGCCAGGCGAGGGGCTCTTCCCAGTGACAGGGGCGGCGCAGAGCACAGGGTGAGATCTCAAGAGCCACCGAGCTTCATGAGGAAGGCGCCGGCACTGGAATCAAGGCTTGCCTTTGCGTCCCGGTGGAAACTGGGGCCCTGCCACCACCACCACCCCCCGGGAGCTCACGGCAGTGCAACATGGCCTAGGAACAGGGCTGCCAGCTCGGGGTTGGGAGCAGTGTTCCCTCTAAGCTCACAGTTTTTCTAGCCTCCGGCTCACACATTTTTGTCTTGGCCCAAAAAGGAGGGCTCCAGAGCAAACTGATTTATGAAGTTGCCAAATCGCTCGCTCACAACATTAAGGCCGGTAGCTCACAAAGTAGAACTTTTGCTCACAAGACTCCACAGCTTAGAGGGAACATTGGCTTGGGAGGTACCTGGAGATCTTGCGGGTGGAGGGGTGGGGGTTTGGGGAGGGAAGGGACCTCAGCAGGATAGAATGTCATAGAGTCCACCCTCCGAAGCAGCCGCCCTTTTCTCCAGGGGAAGGGATCTTGGAGATCAATCGTAATAGCGGGAGATCTCCAGGCACCCCCTGGAGGCTGGCAACCCTCCCTAGGGGTCTCCCTGTCCACCCTGGCCAGCAGGTGATTCCTCCAAGGAATGGGAGCGACTCAAGAGCACAGACCACCGAGTCCCGGAAGAAAGCAGGACCGGAGGACGGGCCTCGCCTTTGTGCTCTGCTAGAGACCGGGCCCTTGCAAGGCTGGCGTGCAGGCGGGCGGGGTGGGCTTTGTGCCTGGCTGCCGAGCAGCAACGTACCGTCTGCTGAAAGGCAAGGCAACGGGGAGCCTCCGCCTGGAACTTGCCCTCCGGAGAGGGAGTCACTGCGTGCACACAACAGGGCCTGGGAAGCCGCCCCCCCCCCCGGACACAGCTCCCCCTCCCCATCGAGCTCTCACTTACACCGTGCACCTGTTTCCCCCGAGCCTTCGGCCTGTGGCTGCCCTCCCAATGCTACTCACTTGTAAAGGTAGGTTGGGGATCAGGCAGGTGACCCCGAACGCCACCAGCAACACGTTGGTGAACGCAAAGGCCCTTGTGGCGTTGACCACCTTCTGGATCTGCCGGTCTCGAGGCTGCTTCTTCTGGTCGCCCCTATAAAGGGAAGCAGGGCCACAGTCGCCACAGGGGGCTTTTGGCGCGGGAAGAGCGCATCCGGCTGCAGCGGCCCCCCTCCCAAGAAAGGACGGACCCCTGTCCCCCTGATAGGGTTGCCATCCCCCCGATGGGGACAGGGGTTCCCCTGATTTCCAGCCCTCCCATCCGCCCGCCAACCAGCTGCCAGCAGTGGGAGCCCCACCCCCTGAAGAGCTCCCCGGCATCCGGCATGCCTGGCACGATGAGGTCACCTGGAGATGACATCATCACGCCGGGCATGTCACCAGGGAGACGCTCTAGCATTTGGTCAAACGGCTCTATGGTACCATAAAGTTTTTGACCGAATGCCAGAACATCCAGGAAGGGAGCCTCCGCCCCCCCTGCCAGCAGAAGGTAGGGACCTGGCAACCCTACCCCCCGAGCCCAGGCCCCTGTCTTCACCCTCCAGCCCCCTCCAAGGGAAGGGCTGTTATTGTTTGGGGGTAAGGAAGGCCAGCTTGGGCCCTCCCTGGACCATCGCTCTGCAGGGATCCGCATTCCAAGGAAAGGATATCACAACTGGCTGCAAGCAATGCTCCCTCTAAGCTTGTGAGCAAAAATTCTACTTTGTGAGCTCCCGGCATTCAAGGTGTGAGCGAGCCATTTGGCGACTGCGTCAATTAGTTTGCTCTGGGGCCCTCCTTCCTGAGCTGAAACAAAAATGTGTGCGCCGGAGGCTAAAGAAACTGAGCTGGCTCACACTCACTCAGCTTAGAGGGAACACTGGCTGCACGCCACTCCCAGAGTCGTGCTGCCCAAGCCCGAAAAGCCACACAGAAACTCTTCCCCAGCCACAGGCTCTCCTTGTTTCTAGGTCAACAGGGCACGAGCACACCCAGGACTCCACAGGAAACCTTGACACAGTGACCTGATTCTGCCTCCGTCTCCCGCTTCTAGTTAGACTAGACCTTGCGCCAATCTGCCCTTGGGAGCCTTTTGCCCTGCGAGTAGGTTTCTTCTGCAGGGCACGGCTCCTGCTCTGGGCTGATGTGGGGGGGGGGAGGGGGAACGAAGACAGCTGCTGGACAGCTCCACCTTGGGCTTCTACCTCCTGGCCCTACACTTCTGGGACTGAAAGAGGTCGTGGTGACTTTTAGAGTCCTCTAGCCAGAAGGATAACCCGACCTGGATGGTCCAGGCTCACCTGCTCTCATCAGGTCTCAGAAGCGAAGCAGGGTTGGCCCTGGTTAGTCCATGGATGGGAGACAAGCAGGGAAGCCCTGGGTTGCTCTGCAGAGGCAGGCGATGGCAAACCACCTCTGTTGGTCTCTCACCTTGGAAAAACCCTGTGGGGTTGCCTTAAGTCGGCCGCAACTTAATGGGACTTTGCACATAAAGAAGAGCAGCCGCTGCCCCAGATCTGTTGTCTATTTTAACTCTGAATGCAAGAGGATGCGGGAGGGAAACGGTGAAGAGAATTCTCTCGCGCAAGTACACCGAGCAGTTGGCCCCACCCTCTCGTCGGTTAGATGTTGAGCCACTTTGAAGAAGAAAAAGAAGAGATTGGATTTATACCCCGCCCTTCACTACCCAAAGGAGTCTCAGAGCGGCTCACAAACTCCTTTCCCTTCCCCTCCCCACAACAGACACCCTGTGAGGTAGGTGGGGCTGAGAGAGCTCTTGACAGGAACTGCTCTTTTTCAAGAACAGCTCTGACAGAACTATGGCTTGCCCAAGGTCAGCCAGCCAGGTGCGAGTGGAGGAGTGGGGAATCAAACCCGATTCTCCCAGATTAGAGTCCACGCACTTAACCACTACACCAAATTGGCTCTTTGGCCATTGCTCACCTTCTGTTTCATCTTATATGAGACCTCTCCTCCCTTTCTTACCTGGGGCTTGTCGGCTGTAGCAAGTTAACCTTTGTGAAGTTAATCTCTTCACAATAAGTTAAATGTTCCTACATGAATATGTCATGTAAAATGCACTTCTATTTTTGTAAGTAACATTTCTTTCTCTTCTTACCACTGGGGTCAGATCATCTTTGTCATTCGTTCTGAACAGCATTCTCCTATTGACCGGGAAACGTAGAGGATTGGGGATTCTGCGTAAACCTTCTGTGCTTCCAAAGCAAAAGATTTTTTTCTTTACATTTAACCCAATAAGATCATGCCCAGGTGAGCTACGTACGGACTCGCATCCTTCTCCTCTGCCTCTTCTGAGCCGTCCGTGCACTCTTTCAGCTTCCAGTCCATGATGTAGCCTATCACGGGAGCCGTCACCAGGCAAAGCAGTTGCAGGACTCCGAAGATGGAAGTGTAGAGATTGACTGGAAGGGGACAACAGGTCACCCGTCATCACCCCTGCAGCCCTCCAGGGAAACCCACACCCTTTGCACATGCAGCCCAAGGCCACCTCCCTGGCAAGGGACCCACCAACTTTGGCAAATGCTAGTCGTTAAGCACGTCGGACTAGTATCTGGGAGACCCAGGTTCGAACCCCCACTTGTGTTGTGGATGCTCGCTGGGTGTCGTTGGGCCAGTCACATGCCCCCTCGGCCTAACCTACCTCACAGGGTGGTTGTGAGGACAAAACGGAGGAGGCGAGGATGATGTAAAGTGACCTGGGTCCCCATTAGAGGAGAAAGGCGGGGTACAAAGGAATTAAATAAATACAGACACACGCACACCCCCAACCGGGCTGCTTGGACCCTGGGTGGGAAACCTCAGTAGGGAATTTTCAAAGACAGCAGAGCTGGACACCAGCAGCGGCGGCACCCAGAGAGTGCTAGAAACCCAAAGGCAGCAAGACAAGACAGAAGGGCCCATCCTCATGGTCTCCCCTTTGCCTTCCGAGTTGGCCAGAAGAGCGCAAGGAATCCCTGCTTGAGCTGCTCGGAGCCTGACTCAGCCTCAGCCGCCCCCCCCCCCACCACCTCCCTGTTTTTTTCATGACTGTGTCTCTCCCCTGATCTGCGGCACAGATTCCAGATTTAACAAGCCCAGACTGGATCTGACTACGCAAGAGACAAATGGGTTTCGCCTCGGTTGCCTTTTGCAAAACAACCAGCTCATGTAATCTCTTCTCCCTTTTCCTGGCTGGCAGCCTGCCAGCAGCTATAAATACAGGGCCGGGAGTCAGACAGCACAAAGCGCCACCGGGAAGCAGAGAGGGCTGGTTCTCTCTCTCTCGCTCTCTCTGCTTTGCGCCTCCAGAAACGACGAAGCTCGGGAGCACGGCCGCTTCCCCCCACAACCCCCCCCCCTTCACATCCAACTCGGTTTCCCCCAAGGCAGACGGAAGATAGCTCAAGGAGAGCTCAGCCCGGCTCCGAGATCGCCACGCTAGTGTTATCTAGCCTGGAAGCATAGCTAGAAACGAGAGCGGCCACCTCTGTGTTTGGACAGGCCAGCGGCTCCCAAGAGCCAGTTTGGTGTAGTGGTTAAGTGCGCGGACTCTAATCTGGGAGAACCGGGTTTGATTCCCCACTCCTCCACTTGCACCTGCTGATGTGACCTTGGGTCAGTCACAAGCTCTGGGACAGCTGTCCTTGAAAAAGAGCAGTTTGTGTCAGAGCTCTCTCAGCCCCACCCACCTCACAGGGTGTCTGTTGTGGGGAGGGGAAGGGAAAGGAGTTTGTAAGCCGCTCTGAGACACCAAGTGAAGGGCGGGGTATAAATCCAATCTCTTCTCTTCTTCTTCTTCTTCCAAGCCACCCCCGAGGTTGCCAGGGCTGTGCCCGAGGAAGGGGTTCCTCTATGTGCATCAACACTCACTAAGGGAATCGGTTTTGTCGTTCACACCCCCTCCGAGGGAGCCCGATCTCAACGCCACCCACACGGCGCAAACGACGCAGCGTGACTGAGTCTTTCCCTTATGAGCACGTTTGGCGTACGGCTCCCCCCCCCCCATGGAGTGCATGAGACAGACAACTGCTCATAATCGTCGGATGAAGCGCTGAAATTAAATCAACCCTTAAAAATAATCTAATAGATCAAATCGAAAAACAGCAAACCATTCAGGGGAGGGGGGGACAGAAGCGGAAAGCCCGTAAGGCGGGTTCAGCCCAGGTTGAAAGGGAGCTGAAATGGCATCGCCGTGACCTGGCATTGGTAGGCTCACGAAGAGGCAGCCAAAACTACCCAGGGCACAGAGGTCCAGTGGCTGGGTGCCAATACAGAAAAGGATCTCTCTCATACACACACAGAAGAAGAAGAAGAAGAGAAGAAGAAGAGATTGGATTTATCCCCCCCCCTCCACTTGGAGTCTCAGAGCGGCTTACAAACTCCTTTCCCTCCCTCTCCCCACAACAGACACCCTGTGAGGTAGGTGGGGCTGAGAGAGCTCTGACAGAGACTGCCCTTGAGAGAACACCTCTGACAGAACTATGGCTTGCCCAAGGTCATCCAGCAGGTGCAAGTGGAGGAGTGGGGAATCATACCTGGTTCTCCCAGATTAGAGTCTGTGCACTTAACCACTACACCAAACTGGCTCACACCAATAGTGATGGGACAAAGAACAAGACCTCTGTTGATGGTCCAAACATGGAAGAAGGGTCATCTGTCCAGCATATTTTTATCCCTCCCTTCTTCCCCAAAGCTGAAGAAGTAGAAGAGATTGGATTTATATCCTGCCCTTCACTCGGAGACTCAGAGCGGCTTACCATCTCCTTTCCCTGTCCCTCCCCCCACAACAGACACCCTGTGAAGTAGGCGGGGCTGAGAGAGCTCTTCTGAGGACTGCTCTTGAGATGACAGCTCTGAGAGAACTTGTGACTGACCCAAGGGCACACCAGCAGCTGCCACGTGGAGTAGGGATTCAAACCCGGCTCTCCTAGATTAGAGTCCACGCTCCTAACCACTACGCCAAACTGAAGACATTCTCCTGTCCCAATTTTATCTCCACCTCACTTGCTGATGCATAAACAGTGGGGTGCCACTTCTCACCCCTTTGTAGAACCAGCCACAATTAGGCCGAGAAAGAAAGAAAGAATGACTGGCCCAAAGTCACTCAGAGATTGAGGGTGGAGTGGGGATTTGAACCCAGGTCTCCCACTATACTATTTATTTATATCTCGCTTTTCTCCCAAGTCGGGACTCAAAAACAGCTTAGGAACACCGTTCTCCCTTCCTCCGTTTTCCTACAACGGCTGAGAGTTTGTGATGGGCCCAAAGTCACCCGGAGAGCTTCCCTGACAGAAGTGGTGATGCAAACCGAGATCTCCCAAGATCCTTATCCCACACTCTATTCACTCTGCCATGCTGGTTCTCATTAGCTCTCGTGTGGAAGCAGCCAGTAAGAGTAACCAAAATCTCGCCTATGCAACTGGACGAGACACTGGCCCTTTTCACATTACCATTCTAAACTGGATGTTAATAGATGTTGGCCCAATTTCAAGTAAAGCGATACATGGATGGGGGCTTCATAAAGCGAATGACCTTCCATCGATGAGCCGTCTCTGAAGCGCTATGGTAATTTCAAACAGTGCCACCTTTTCCCCGCCCTTTTCCACCATACGATCTTCTTCAGACTTATTTTTAACATTCTAAGGTTTTCATGACTATGTGAGCGCTATAGCACTAAACCACTATAGCACTGAAGTGCTATGGCAGTTTAGCGCTATAGCGCTCAACTCAAAATGTTAAAAGAAGTCCGAGATCATATGGTGAAAAAGGACAGAGGGGGAAGTGGCAATGTGGGAAGCGCTACGGACATTTTACACAGTCCCCCTTCACGATTTTCTTCTTCTCAGGTGTGAGGAGGGATGTATTCCATTTGGCTCCACCTCCTGAGGTAGACATTTGGGGTTCTGACATTTTAAACAGCACACCACAGTAATTCAGAAGCACAACGAAAGGGTTGAAAACAGGGGAAAAGCAGTTTCCCTCAAAAGCAGCTCAACCATGCTTTGCTAATACGATGCAAGGAGGCTTGTATGAACTAGTAAATAAATTCCACTAGCAGCTGGTTACTAAAACAGGTCTGTCCGAAATGACAGAAAAAATCCATTAGCAACCAGTTACTAAAATGACAGTAAAGTGACAAAGGCAGGGTCACTGCGTAAACGAAAGAGACAGCCACAGAAGAAAATCCACTCTGAGTAAAGCCAGTGGTGTGAGGAATTCTGTCCACTCCTCCAGCCTGAGAATCTTGCCCAGAATTTTGCGGCTGGACAGAAGCAAGATGGCTTTCCTCTGGTGTTCTTCCTTGCCCAAGGCCATCAGCCACCGAAGCCAAAGTGTCAAAAGAAAAAAAAAAAGCAGCAAAATACCTACCTGTCCCCAAATCACCATCCACCATGAAGTGCAGGATGTTGTTCATGGCTCCCATGTAGAAGATGAGCCGCAGCTGGGTCATGCACATGGTGATCAGGCTGAGTAGCAGGATGGGGCTGAAGACGCTCTGCATAAAAGAGGGGGAGGCTACCAGGGTGGTTGGGAGGGGGGGGG